GGCACGTTTGGCCTGCCGGTACTGGACAGCTGCCTCAGGAGTCCCACGAACCATCATTGCTCGATAGGACTCCTTCTTCAGCCTGACGGCATCCCTTACTGCCGGTGTCCACCACCGGGTTCGGGGATTGCCGCCGGGACCAGCACCAGAGACCTTGCGACCACAGCTACGAGCCGCCGCATTGGCGATAGAGGAAGAGAACATGGTCCACTCGGACTCGATGTCCCCCTCCTCTGCCGGGACCTGGGAGAAGCTCTCCCGGAGGTGTGAGTTGAAAGTCCGTCTGACAGGGGGCTCAGCGAGACGTTCCCAGCAAACCCTCACTACACGCTTGGGCCTGCCAGGTCTGACCGGCCTCCTGCCCTGCCAGCGGATCCAACTCACGACCAGGTGATGATCGGTTGACAGCTCCGCCCCTCTCTTCACCCGAGTGTCCGAGACACGCGGTCGAAGGTCAGATGATACGACTACAAAGTCGATCATCGACCTCCGGCCTAGGGTGTCCTGGTGCCACGTGCACTGATGGACACCCTTGTGCTCGAACATGGTGTTCGTGATGGACAGGCCGTGACTGGCACAGAAGTCCAACAACTGAACACCGCTCGGGTTCAGATCAGGGGGGCCGCTCTTCCCGATCACCCCTCTCCAAGTGTCACTGGCATTTCCCACATGGGCGTTGAAGTCCCCCAGGAGAATAACGGAGTCCCCGGGCGGTGCACTGTCCAGTACCCCTCCCAAGGACTCCAAGAAGGCCGGGTACTCTGCACTACCGTTAGGCCCGTAGGCCGTCACAACAGTGAGAGACTTGTCCCCCACCCGGAGGCGGAGGGACGCGACCCTCTCATTCACCGGGGAGAACTCCAACACGTGGCGGCTGAGATGGGGGGCAATGAGTATGGCCACCCCAGCTCGCCGCCTCTCCCCGCGGGAAACACCAGAAAAGTGGAGCGTCCAACCCCTCTCAAGGAGTTGGGTTCCAGAGCCCAAGCTGTGTGTGGAGGTGAGGCCGACTATCTCTAGTCGGTATCGCTCAACCTCCCCGACAAGCTCGGGCTCCTTCCCCCCCAGTGAGGTGACGTTCCACGTCCCTAGAGCCAGATGTTGGGTGTGCGGACTGGGTCGTCGAGGTCTCCGCCTTCGACTGCTGCCCAGTCCTCTCTGCACCTCGCCACCACGGACCCCTCTGCAGGTGGTGAGCCCACAGGAGGGACTGCCCACGTCATCCCTTCGGGCTGAGCCCGGCCGGGCCCCGTGGGCTAAGGCCCGGCCACCAGGCGCTCGCTTGCGAGCCCCGACCCCAGGCCTGGCTCCAGGGTGGGGCCCCGGCTGCGCCATGCCGGGCGACGTCACGGTTTTTGTTGTCGTGCTGTCCATGGTTGGCTTCGGACTGCGCTTCGTCTGACTCGTCACTCGAGACCTGTCTGCCATGGGAGACCCTACCAGGGGCATGAAGCCCCAGACAGCATAGCTCCCAGGATCATCCGAGTGCTCAAACTCCCCCACCACGTTAAGGTGGCAGTCCAAGGGGGGAGCTTGGACTGCCACCAGTTGCATGTCGCACTTTGAAGCCCCTGTTTTTGTGCAGTAATAGTTCACATACTTTAATGGTACTTCAGAACAGTACATGCTAATTAAGTAGTCTTGTTGGACATGGTTTATGTTTAAACATTTTGGGTAAAAAGGTGTTTTCCTTGAGTCAATCCTGAAGATTGGGGGGCCCACCAGTGCTTCTATGGACTTGCCGCCCAGCATCACAAATTGACTTTCTTGTCTGATGTATCTCCATGAAAAGAGACCTTGAATTAGTGGACACTGTTAATTTAATCTGGACTCTTAAAGTGCTGATATGAACTATTTCGCTATAATTGCAGGACTAAGCTAAGGCGCTAGTTACTAAGGGAAAATGTTGGGTTAACATTTTTTTTTCTTTAGTGGGGGAGGGTGTTGCTGCCTGTATTTGCACCTATTTTTATTGTATAGAACTAAGCACTTTACGGTTTTATTGGTATGGATGACGGTTCACTGTAAATAACAATATTTATACCATGTCATTCGCTAAAATTCCACTGCTTTCTCTTAATAGTATTTTATTATTGTAGGAATATTTATTATATGCCCTACCCCTTAGGCTCACGTGATTTCTGCTTTCAATATATACCGTCAGGGATAATCAGACACAGGTGTGCAGTATAGAGGCCTTTTTCCCGGCCAGGCTGTGTGTACGACTCTTGACCTGTTCTTATTCTTATTTCTCTTTTGAGACCGAAATAAAATATAAAACGAACCCTTTGGACTCAATGGTCATTTTGAGGGGGCAACATACGTATGTCAGAGACCAGGTCCAGACCAGGTCCAGACCAGGTCCAGACCAGGTCCAGATGAGAATACTCCGGTCACTCATTACTCGTTGGTAATCTCCACACTTATGGGAAGAGATTCTCATACAAATATACACACGACAACTTAAATACAAGCACAAAACAGAAACACGTGAATACTGCAGATAATACGAGATAAAGCACAGTAGCACAGGGAGGACGTTAGCTTAGCTGCTATCGATAGCTAAATGAAGCTAAATGTAGCTAGCTCACTGTGTACAACTGACAATCAAACATATACACAGTAAATACATTTCAGTGAGAGCTTTAGGGGGTTCGTAGCTAACCAGTTATTTCCAGGATTACCACAGACTAGTCACAAATCCAGAGCTGGTGATCTCCTGAAAACTGTGATGAGCCTCGAGCTGCCTTTGGATTCTTTCTTTGGCCTGAAGAGAGGAACGTGTGGACCTCTTCCACCGACCAGGACCAGGACTTTTGGGGCTTTCTGTGCAATTCCATTTCTCTGGAGTGAGGAGGACGTAATGTAGCCGAAGCAGAGCCGAGCAGAGCAGCCGCTTTTAAAGATGGCGGTTGAGTTGTTTTTCCCAAAGGGTCAGAGGTCGCTTCCAGTGACGACACTCGTTGACCAATCAGTGTGAGGCAGTGGGCCGACGTCACGTCATGGCACCGGTACTATGGGGATGGAACCACGGCTGAGGCAGTACGGAAAAGTACTCAAATCTCCCATTCCATCCACTAGTGGAAACGCAAAATAGGTGCGCCGTACCGTACCGAAATGAACTGAACCGACACTGTGGAAAAACGGCATTATACTTGCAGAGTAATGTTAGTATTTTACACACCTAACAACACAAACAGAGATTGCATTGGGGCTGCGGTCATTATTGATTTGAGAGTTCTGTTATCAAGAAAAAATGATCGGAATAATTGCATTCAGGTCAATGGAGTGTTCTACTGCTGCTGGGGTGCGTACCGATGTTCCCCGGGTCCGATGTTCCCCCACTTCTATAGGCGGGGGAACATCGGACCCGGGGAACATCTTGCCTGGCCTGCCAGACACTCCTCCTTTCTGTTCAAAAGAAGAACCGTCTGGACACCTCTTCCTAGCCTATCATTTCACGATTTTACCCACATCGGTCCAATCACGCACCGAGAGGCGGGACTTCCTTTCACCTTTGAGTTGCTAATAACTCCTCGTATCTTTAAGTTTTTGTTACAAAATCGACAGCAGTCGTTTACATTTGCACTAGCTGACATGCCGCCATCCCTTGTTTTGTGTTTACTGAAACGGCTTGGGTGCCGCTAGTTGCTGCGTCATATCCTGTGTGCATCTAATTGGTTGATGCAGTCTGTCAACCACGCCCACCGGGAATTCGCTGAGATCAAGCTCGTTCCCAGACTATATGTCTTTGAAAAAGCATATCGTTTGGCAGGCCAGGCAAGGGAACATCGGTACTTCGCGTATTAAAAAGTCCCGATGTTCCCCGGGTCCGATGTTCCCCCGCCAATAGAAGTGGGGGAACATCGGGACTTCAACAACGAGACTAGTCCCGCTGTTCCCCGCGTGCGCGCTTTGATGTTTGATGTTTCCTCCTCCACGAAAGATGGCATATGATCCGTGCCAACTTTTGTGAGAGAAAAAATACTAACTAGCCTAAGTCTATTTACTTTTCTTTTTCCCTCTCGCTCTTTGTGTGCTCATATTTCAGCTGATCGCAGCTTGAGTCTATGCAGGATATTTTTGGGCATGTTATGGGCATGTTATCTCCCCTTGCTCACTCTCCCATGGGCATCTATATTTGACAAGTCTGACTGAATAAAATGAGGACGATTGAAACTAGAGCTACTACATCTGTTAGCCTAAAGTTTTTCCAAATACGTGGTTTTGCTGAGGGCACTGTGCTTTTACGCATAATGGACACGCATATGACGTCGTTTTTGTTGTAAAACTTGAATATGCTCTTTTAGTTTTAGAGATATTAATACATATTATTCTATTCAGAATGCGTGCGTCATTGTGCATTGTTGTCCCGCCTTACGTGTCACTCACAGTTAAAATGTAAATAACCAATTCAAACATAGCATTTTTACAACTTGAACTTTAAGAAAAAAATGATCAAAGGAATCAGTGTAAAATAAGATCGGAAAAGCTCAATTCATGATTGTTTAATTAGGTTTCCCATTTTTAAATACAATTGGAAACGCTCAGAATTCAAAAATATTGAAAAGTGTATTGGCTCCTACAGTGGGGGGAATAATAATAATAATTATAATAATAATATAACCCCCTGAGCGTTATCACGTTCCTACGTTGCTTCAAATATAGTCCTGTTTATTGGCTGAACAATTTTGTCCAATATCATATCACACAACGTGAAGCGAGAACAACCAGCTATTCCTCGTCTTAAAGATTGACAACGCTCTCAAAGCATTCACAACAGAGCAGCCTTTTTCATTTTAATTTTAAGAAAGTTCAGCGTGAACTTTGTGAGGTAGAGGAGCCAGAGGCCCGGGCCCGTAGGTCCCAGAGGAGGAGAGCGCGGTCAGGCCAGGCTCGTGTAACGTGGTTGACTCTGCGTTGTGTTGTGAGTAGAGTAACCGCCAGGAGACAGGGTAGTATAACAAGTTCTTTATCTGTGCAACACACAAAATGGCTGGTCAGCCTTGGACCTGGGACACCGCAAACGAGCAGCAGCTAGTGGGGTATACATTTTAAAAGGTTAACATTCCTATATGTACTGAACTGCAATCTAATTTAACTAAACATTGACATTTTCAAGTTTACAAGCATCCCACACAGTCATACAATTGACAAATAAACATACAAATGCAACTTTAGCAGACACACCAATTTTGTGACCTTACCTCGGCTTGCTTATAGTGAAAATGGCGCCGCGCACATTTTTCCCCAAGACTTAAAGGATCTGTCACCCCAAGAGGGCGCTGTTCCACTATAATACAGTGTCTATAACAAGTGGAATACAATACTTTTACCTGTTACATACCCCTCTGCTGAATTCCACTTGTCCCATAACAAAAAAAATTACAAAATAGACCAGCATTGCACAAGGCACCAAAAAAAAACAGTGTTCAATACTTATACGTACAGGAAACTCAAAACCTTCAATTTCCCAACCGTACCAGTGAGGTAATTTCCAGCACCAACACAGTTACCAAACCCAGCAAAAAAAAACCATCCCAGGGGGATCAGTGCGAGACCGGAATGGCCAAAACCCATCTACACACATAGGGTAAATAGAATATGCCCACCCACATATTCCGTTAAATGTAACTGCAAGTACACCTCAAAGTATACAAAACAAAAATCACAATTGTGAAAACAAAACAAACTCAAAATTACATCACCAAAATGTTGCAAAATCCCCAAGAAAAAAAATTTGAAGTACTGAAACCCACTAAAGTCCAAAAAAAAACACTTAAAGGGTTGAAACAGGCTTTTGGTGCATAATCTCAACAAAACGAGTCACTGGTCTCAGTAAACGTCCAGCCCTAGATCTACGGTCAGTTACTGCCTCAGCTGAAGCTGCAGCAGGAACATCAGTCATGTCAAAGTCAGGGGCCATAGCAGTCTCTAGGTCAGGGGCTCGTGGGAGGCTAGAGTCCATAGCATCACTCTCCGGCTCATCCAATGGAACAGCGTTCTCCAGAACACTATCCTCCACACTTGTCACACTGCCAGTATCTGATGGTAGCCCAGACACCCACGCTCTGGTTCGAAACTCAGCTGACTTTGTGGATTCCTCAGTGACTGCCGACCTACTGAGGTCCACTGAGCTCGACACGGGTGACAATACATCCCCGTCCGGGTCACCTGATTCGGTTTCCATCAAGGGCAAAAAATTCACTGGCATTATCAGATTGCGATGCACAACCTTAATCTGTCCACTTATCGGATTTTGAATCTTGAATGTGTGGCTCTCATCGTTTTTCTCCACCACCACATAGACTGTATTTTCCCAACGATCAGCGAGCTTTCTTTTCCCACGTTCACCTTTGTTGGCCAACAACACACGATCTTCCACCTCAACTGGAGCACCACGCACCTTTTTATTGTATAGGTCAGTGTGTCGTTGAAGTTGTTTTGTTGCTGTCGACTGGGCCACTGCCATAGCCTCTCTCATGCTTTGCCGCAACGACTCAACATAGCGGTCATAGTCCACAACCTCTGGATCATCGAGCACTGAGCCAAATATAACGTCCACTGGAAGTCGCGGGACTCTCCCAAACATGAGCAGGAATGGCGCATAGCCAGTTGTCTCGTGTATAGTGCAGTTGTATGCAAACGTCAGGGATTTTAGAGCTTGAGGCCAACAATGTTTTGCTCTTGGTGGAAGCGCCCGTATCATATTCCCAAGAGTACGGTTCATCCTTTCACACGAGCCGTTACCCATGGGATGATAGGGAGTAGTGTGTGATTTCTGCACACCTGCAACCTGTAACAACTCCGCTATCAGGGCACTCTCAAAATTAGCTCCCTGGTCCGAATGCAACCGTTTCGGAAACCCATAGACACTGAAGTAGTTATTCCACAGCTGATGGGCGACTGCTTTGGCTGACTGGTTAGGACACAAGAAGGCATGCGCCATTTTAGTGAAGTGGTCAGTCGCAACCAGCACATCCAGGGACCTATTAGCAGAATCTTCAGCTGTCCAGAAATCAATACTGACAACTTCAAGGGGTTTGTAGGTTCTAATACTTTCTAAAGGCGCTCTGGCTTCAGGCTCTGGGGTTTTGCTCACTACACAGCGTCTGCAGTGTCTAACATAGTCCATAACATCACGAGAGAGCCCTAGCCAGTGAAACCTCTGCCTTGTCAGGTATAAAGTCCTCTGCTGCCCCTGATGGCCAGCCTCATCATGCACACCTCTCAGCACTTTGTGACATGATGAACGGGGTACAACAAACAGGTACTTTCTTCTTTTATTGGCCAAATCCTTTGTCACACGGTAGAGAACCCCCTCTCTCAAAGTGAGTTTCTCCCAGTCTCGCAATAATCTGTTTGCACCAGTAGTTTCCTTTGCACGCTCCCTCCTTGATGGTCTCCTTCCTCTTTCCACATAGAAAATTACTCTGCTCAGATCCGCATCATTCCTCTGTTTGTCCTTCAATTCGTTGAGGGAGAGCACCTCAGAGTCAATTTGCGGGGGCAACAGGACAGACTGCGTGAACTGGGGCAGGAGCAACGCGAGTGGGCACGAGTCAGAACCACGGCTTTTCAATTCATCAAGAACAGCCGCAACCTCTTGAGATGAGATTGAGCTAGAAGAGCTAACTACTGCCGCGCATTGTACAACAACACGTTGGCCACACACGGATTGCGTGTCAGGTGGGTTTGCAGACCACCGAAACGCGTCCTGAACACCATTAGCACCGACGGCAGCAGCCTCAGCGAGCAACTCAACATAAGGAACCCTTGTTAACCGGTGAGATGCACTGGGCTGCACGAACGGCTCCCTGCTTAAGGCGTCGGCGACAACATTTCGGGGACCTGGGATGTATTTTATATCAAACTGAAAAGGGGCAAGTTTAGCAATCCATCGCTGCTCACATGCATCCAGACGAGCTTTGGACAAAATGTATGTCAATGGATTATTGTCCGTCCACACCGTAAATCTATTTCCTCTCAACCAGTGGTGGAATTTATCGCACACTGCCCACTTTATGCAAAAAATTCCAGTCTGTGCGCAGGATACTTTGACTGAGCATAAGTGAGTGATTTACTTGCGAAGGCAATTGGTCTCGCTATTGTGCCCCCAGGCGGAACTTGTGACAAGACAGCACCTAGCCCATCAGTAGAGGCGTCAACTGAGAGCAAAAAGGAGTCATCAAAGTTCGGATGGGCCAGAACAACTTGGTCCAATAAAGCCTGTTTCAGTTTGTCAAAAGCCAGCTTACATTCGTCAGTCCAATCGTCAGTTCTTAACTTTTTACGAGTCTGGTGGCGTTTTCTTCCTGCTCCACGCGGACTTTTGGACCCCGATGTGAGTTGGAATAGCGGCCTGGCTATGGCTGAACAATTTTCAATAAACTGCTGGTAGTATACAACCATACCAAGAAAGGAGCAGACTTTACGCTGTGAGGGGACTGAAGTGCCATCTTCCATAAGGTCAGACTCTTTTAAGGAGGTTATGGCAGCAACTTTATCATGGTCGGACTGGATACCATCGGCACCGATAACATGACCCAGGAACTTAACTGAGCGCCGCAGGAAGTTGCATTTCTTTGGTGCGAGTTTAAGGTTGTGGGACTGCAGTCTATCAAACACCATTCGCAAACGTTCGAGAGCCAGATTCTCATTCGAGGCGAACACCAAAACATCATCCAGGTAGCATAAAAGACTCATAAAGTTCTGGTCACCAAAAATGCTTAACATCATCCTCATGAACGTTGCTGGACTATTACAAAGGCCCTGCGGCATCCTGTTGTATTCATACAATCCGAATGGTGATGAAAAAGCTGTGTACTTCTTGTCCTCCTCATGTACTTCCACATTGTAGTATCCTGAGGTCAAGTCCATAGTTGAGAAGAAGGCATTACCCCCTAGAGCTGCTAGGGCATCAGCAGGGTGAGGGAGCGGATGTGCATCCTTTACAGTGCGTGCATTGAGCCAGCGAAAATCATTGCATATTCTCAAGTCTCCTGATTTCTTTGAGACTAACACAAGGGGCGACGCAAACTCACTGCTGGACTTTCTTATAATCTCCCGCTCCTCCATTTCATCCAATGCCTGTCTCAGTTTTTCATACTGCGTGGGCGGTATGCGCCTGCATGGGAGCCGAAAAGGTTTCTCATCTAGGACCCTGATACGGTGCAGGTAACCAGTAGCCTTGCCGCAGTCTAGCTTGTTTCTGGAGAAAATCGACTCGTACTCTACTATGAGCTCAGCAAGCTTAGTTTTGTAATCGGTGGAAACTTGACACGACTCAACATCAATATCCGACAAACCCAGCTCACCTAACCTAGACTGGAGAGAACTAGAGTCAGGGCACGGCTTGAATCGAGGACAGTCCGGTAAAGTGGAGGTATCTGAAACAAGACTGAGTACAGTTGATCTATCACTGGTAATTTGTACATTGTGCCGAACAGACTGAGAACCAAATTTCTCGACTGCCTCACACAAGAAGACGTCAGCCATCTTAGTCTTACGTTTGAGAGTGACAGGCTTGTGAGATGGGTTTATCACTTTGAGAGGCAGCCAGCCATCAGCTCTCAAAAGTGAAACAGCTCTTCCAACTATGACTGTTCTTGGTCTGGACTTAGCGACTGTCGGCTCGACAATAACCTCACTACCAGCCAACTGTTCGTCCACGTACTGCAGCTTTGCCCACACTAGGTGCTCTGTCATAGGCTCCAGAGTACTTTGACAGTACCGATCGCATTTGAGACATCCTCAGTTTCCACTCCCGCCATTAAACTCAACAGTTTCTGTTCTGCATCACTCTTGCAGCTGAGCACTGAAGGGCACTGACCCTGGAAATCCCTTTTAAGTCTGCTGATCACATACCGCAATAGGTTACTGCCAATAATTAGATCTTCGCTCTGGCCATTGACAACTAGAGTGGGGACAACCACGCTGCAGCCATACATCTCCAGGTTGAGATCGCACACTCCCACAGGCAGAGTTCTAGACCCTCCGCATCCAATCAACACAACGTCCGTATCCTGAAAGGTGGGGTTTATAACACCCTCCTGCAGTAACTGTGGGACAAGACTAGCACTTAGAGTACATGCCATCGAACCGCTGTCCAGTAAAGCAGAGACTTTTACTCTTCCGCTCAGTGTCACTATCTCATAGAACAGATCATCATGCTGCTGAAGCCTCTGAACGTTTTGAACTATAGGCGTGCGTCCCATTTCTCTTACTCTGCAAACACTTCGATAGATAAACTCCTCTTCATCACTCTCATTAACAACAGGGGAATCATTTTTAGGCCCAACACTTGCCCCTCCCACATGCAGGCCAGCTAGTTTCCCTGCTGCTGCGCCGTAGACTTAACAACCCCAGGCTTACTGACAGCATTTGGGCAATCAGCGCGCGTGTGGTCAGGTGCAAAACAGGTGAAGCACAGACGGTCGGACCTGCAGTGGTACTGAGTAGTGTGGCCATCATCTCCACACACAGCACAGGGCGTCAGGGGTTTGACCTTGGAGGGCAGGCTGCGTGTATTGAACTTACTGACATATTTAGGCTGCTGCGACTGCTGAGAAAGTACACGTTTGAGGAGGGCAAGCACTCTGTCCAGACGGTCAGGTGAACACTCTGCCCGCTGCGCAGAAGGCGGAACCACAACAGCAGCTTGTGGCGGCTTTGCATTAGCAGAACTCTGGACAGGAGCAGCAACTTCCTGGCGCTGCAAACACAAGATGGTGTTTATTTTCTGCATAGGTGCCTGTCTATGGTCTCGACAGTGCTCAACCAACTTATCATGAATATCCGCTGCAGTCCATTCTTGCAGTGGCCTGCACTTGAAAATGAGTGACAGTTCATTATCGGGACAGTTATGAATGAACATGGCTGCTAAATCACGTGACAGATAGTTAAATGTCTTATTTTGCCTTCTCAAAGAGTCCTCAATCACCTCCAGGGCTCTGTTCAGCCTCAACCAGTAGTCAATGGGTTGTTCACCAGAGTGGGGTTTTGTCGCATAAAAGTCAGCTAATGGTAAACAAGAGGTTAGTGTGTCACTGAAGTGCTGTTTTAACATCTCAAAAACAGGCTCCGGGCCGTCAGTCAGGGTCAATATTCGCTTACTACGTATGCCCACTCTGACTACATCCCGCGCCCTCCCCGTGAGCTTTGACAGCACCTCATCAGCTTGATCGGACACAGGAATTCCCCTTTTCTTCATATACAGTAGGTCCCATTCCGTTTTGTCGCCTTTCACGCGTGAATCACACGTGAGTCTCGTGTGATTCACGCGTCTTTTATTTTCCCCCCTCCCAGTGACGTTGCAATGACCAAAACAACCACCAGGTGGCACTTGTGAGCAGGGTTACATTGGCGAGTTTCTGCCCCGCGCACATCGACAATCTGGTTTAAACGGGCAACTCCTTGTAGCAGGCCAGTCTCTGGAATAACCCGCAGACATTAAAACTACTGCACACTGAGAAAAGTGTTGCAAGCGCAACTTTGAACCTAAGTACTTGTATTTGCAATTTCGGACTTAAAATGTATTCTTATGGTTTTAATATTAGAAAAATAATTTCCATTTACTAAAACAAAAACAATATACCCACAAATACGTTTTGTATGTGTATTGAACTAAATTTTGAAAAAATATTGTTGGCAGTGCAGTGCTTCTTAAATCTGACGCTATCAATAAGTGTTCAGACAAAGTAATTTCTACTGGGCGGGAGTTTGCTTCCGGTTCGGACCGTTTCCGCGAGCTTGTTGTTGGTGATGGGCGCTGAGCCAGCCTTGGACACGGTCGTGTGGTTTCCCGTGAGATCCAACTCAAAGTAAGATTTTTTAAATATATGGTGCTTTCTCTGTAAGGTTTGTCGCGTATTTGATCAAATATATACAATCTGTGGTCAAATCGTCGTTTTATTTTCTTGGCAGTTCGTGTCCAAAATTACTTCATGTTAACTGTCTACTGTAGCCCCAAACATGTTGTTAGCATAAAACTGTGCCAGTATAATGGTCCTACAATTTCGTTGTTTAGCAAAGTGATTTGTGTTAAGACTCGTAACATTACCAACTACCCCTTAAATGTTCTGAACCATAATAACAGGCGTAGTTTTCGCAGTTTGGAGCTGCTAGCTTCTAGCTAGCTGTTGCTAACGGTACGCAGCTAACATAAGTAGACCAAAGTCGCTACTGTCCTGCTCTGTCTTGTTGCCGGAGGTGCAAGTGGAAAATACAGTTGGCAACAGAAGCCACGTGACATTTATTAATCTTCTATTATTTTCTACTCTTGGGGACAGTTCATTTCCCCGCAGAAGTCCCTAGTTACATTAGCTCAGCGGAGCGACTCTCAAGGAGGAGACAGGTGCAGAGCATGGTGCGGAGGCAGAAAACATGTTTATTGCTATCTGAGATCGCTCTGATTTCCTCGCGGTCAGAAAGTAGCTTGTTTCAGCAGAAAACTAACGTTAAGTTAACAGCTACTGCATGTTGTTAATGTTATGACCCGTCCGCATCAGCATCACTGTATTATATCAAGGCCTGTCTGTTTTAGCCAATGTGCAGCTATATGGTTAGTTATGATAAGTTCAAATACATTCAGAAATCTGCAGCACATTTAAAAAACCCAAACAAAGTATAAGTGATACATTATAAACATGCATTTTTAAAAGAACATACTGAGGGTGACTGCTATAGCCTATTGCAGTCACAAAATTAGAGTGGAAATGTTAAAAATCTAATGTGACTTACATTCGCATTTCATATGAACAACATTTTGGCATGTTAATTTTGAAATAAACGATATTTTGCTGGACAAGTAGGTTTTGTTTCCGGGCAAGTAAAAAATACCTGCCACTTCAAGTACCTCAAAGCACTTAATGTCAAGTCCTGACAAGGTAATACATTCAGCTAAAGACAGGTACATGTTGTGGTATAGCATGTTTTTTGTGGAATCACGTGTAGTAACGCAAAATGCACAAAGCACTTTGTTTGTACTAATCTAATGCATTTTTTATATGTAAAAAGCAGCACCGCCTGTTTAAATGCTTATGATATTTGTCCAATGAAGAGTATTTTTAAGCATGTTTATTAATTTTATTTTATTTTATTTTAGATTTTTCCTTTCACTGCTGCCAATTGATGGAGGAAAGCTACAGCAGGAGGTAAGTGTGATACAAAAAGAACTGTTAATAAATGAAGTGAATGTAATGTACTCGCTAGGGATGCAATAGTTTTTTGGGGGGGGGGCATTATACATTATACATTACACTCACCGCAAGATTTGCGGTGAGTCCTTGGCAACAAGAGAGGAGATTTTCCATCATTTGTCATTATATACGTTTTTATATCTAAATGAACACAATCAGAAATATGAAAACATATTCAAGATAAGAAGTGCTGAATACTTCCTAATTCGTGGTGTTTTTTATTTCTATGTTGTTTCGTAGGATCCAACCGCTGCTATAGAAAAGAGGAGGGAAGTCGTAATCCGAGGCCTAATTGAATACATGGGGGAGAAGCCAGGAGACTTGATTTCAGATCTACAGGTAAAATTTCCAATCTTTTCTTTTTCAGGGTATAAAAAAAGTACCGTACCTTATGCTGATATGTCTATCATTAAGAGTAGTAGTATCACCAAATCCTCTTCATCCTTGTTTTTGTCTTAAAGCATAGCGATAGCGGGTTAGCTTGAGCTAACCCGCTATCGCTATGCTTTAAGACAAAAACATGAGTTTGTGACAATAAAATATCAGCGTATGGTACTTCTAATAGTAGGTAAAGGAGATGATTTGCCATGTACCATTATTTACATTTGCAACTACCGCATGACTTCACATGCGCGCTCCGTAAGTGATACCACAGGATATTTAACACAAAACTGTGCTATCTGAAACGCACGTGAAACTACAATCAGAGGCAGGGGTCATTGTCCTGTCTTATTTTGCTCTTTAGTACTCACTAAATGGCAGCTCGTCAAAAGGGAAAGTATGTGCGTATGTGTTTGGCACCTCATGTCGCCGTCTCCTTGTGGAAGTTCTTTTCTTTCTTCAAATATTGTCTAATGTTACTGTCAAACTAATTTAGGCAGAAATGTGAGAAATTCCACACAGTGTGCTCACTTTTTCTAAACATTAATTGAACAAACAATATATATTTGTACTAGGGGTGTAAATCGGCGACCGTTTAACCGGTGGTTGACCGTCACAGCGTTAACCGGTCAAAGCTGTCGGTTAAAAAAGAGAAAAAGGGGAGAGGGGAGGTCTCTTAATAACGCTATTTTAAGCCCTATTTGCACGATGTGACGAGCGGGTCTGTATCTAGCTGTGTGCGCCCATGTATTATAAACTCCGGGACGACTCTCACGCCGCACGAGCCACATATGCACACACGCACGCGTGCGCATACACACACACACACACTTTCCCCCTCTCCATACGTAACATCCACACGCATCATCTTTCCCCTCTGTTACCGTCAAAGTTGCACACTGGCGCGGGTCAGAACTACATTGGAGCTTACATTTACACACACACACACACATACACACACACACACATACATACATACACACACACATACACACACACATACACACCCTCTGTGTCACGGAGCCCAAAGGATTCGCACAAACACACGGCTCCAGTCAAACCACATGGAACATGTTTGTGTTTATGGTCCTCGGGATCAGCTCCACACACATCACTTGTATTTAAACTTTTGTGAAGACCTGTGAGACGCGTCACTCGCTGCTCTGACCATGTGGACGAGCCGTCGTTTGCTGCTAGAAAGTTTTGGTATTAACCCGCAGCACAGCAGAATGGGAAGATTAAAACAGCAGTTCTCTGTGCGCAAAGGTGCCGGAGCTGTTGTGGGTTTGGGCGCCGCTGTCTTGGCTCTGATCCAGTAGAACGCAGAGCTGAAATTTTGTTTTTGTGACATTCTCTTTTGTTCTTGTTTTCTCAATGTTGTGATTTTACTGTATCTGCCTGTTTTTTTTAGATGATTTATGCTGCAAAACCAATTTCCCCTAGTGGGACAATAAAGACAACTTGACTTGACTTGAGCTGCACTTATGAAAAGTACGCGGCTCGAAATGGCTGTTATTTCAAAGAACGTGGACTATTTTAAACTACGCGGTTAACCGGTTTCTACCGGTTAATGAGGCTCGGTGGTCGGTCATGAAAATTCATAGTTTTTTACATCCCTAATTTGTACCGTCAAATAA